AGTCGTCTCACCAGAGGTTCACCGCCAGTGTTGCCCGATCCTAGAAGGTCGCCGAGATTCATCGTCATGGTTGTCCGCGTAGTCGTCGATGGTCCTGGAGTACCGTTCGCCGGGCTGGAACGGCATTGTGCTTTGTGATCGCTCCATGCGTTCTTTTGGCATTCCCGTGAGCAATAGTAGACGCTACGACAACCCGCACACCGCTGCAGAGGCTGGCCGATAGTGTCTTCGGACACATGACAGCGAGCGCAAGACAGAGAGGCCATGATGACAGCAGAAAGGACGATGAACGAATCAATGAGGAGGGTGGAGAAATGCCTGTCTTGTTCGTAGGGTCTGTACTTACCTTCGCTCTCTGTACTGTAGTCGCGAAAAACAGGCAACCAACGCACAGTGGTCAAGGAACAAGGCTGATCGTTGCCGTGGCGACCACAAGAAAGGACGTGGTGCAAGATCGCGCCGCACGTCGTGGCGTATAGTGGTTGCATATCCATAAGATTCAGACCTCACTCACCCACATTGGCATGTTCTTTCGGCACTCTGCCTCGCGAAGTTGGAGTGATCGTCCGGCGATCGTACCCGGTACAGAGGGTCATAGAGTTTAAAAAGGATCGCGTTTTACTGGATCGAATAGGCGTTGTCTTGCTGTTCTGGCAGCGGAGATATATGTCTACGGGTCGTATCTTGTCAGTCTGAAGTCCTTGGATGTTGCTCGAGGCAGAACTTCTGCTGTCCCTTTCCTTCCGCCTGGCCGAAAACAACGGTGTGCTTCAAACATCAGGATGCCTGGCTTTGTACGCATCAGCATACAGTACATCAACCATGCTGATACGGTCCTTCAGCTTGCGCGGACCGTAGGTCATCAATCGTTGGATTGAACCCAGGCCTGTCGGGTCGCCAGACTTCTCTGTAACGTCGTCCACTCGACCATCTCCCTGCTCCTCTGCCTTACGTTGACCGACTGCTCGTGCCCCGACCACAGCTTCGGCTTTGCTACTAAAGGTACCATGGACCTCCGACCTTTCGACTTCCACGCGCTGGTTGTAGTTTGCATCGCCGGACACGACGAACCAAGCCGGCCCGGGCAGCAGCGCTTTCACACGAGGGTTGTGTTCTTTGATGATCTCGCACGTTTTGGCGTTGCTGGTATCGTCTCCCAGTGGATATGAGCTCACACTGCCAACTGTACCAAGTCGTCCTTGTGCGAGTAGGTGGTCAATAGTCTGTAAAGCTCGCGGACATTCCGCCAGGAACAGATGACGCATCTCATGAGCGACTGCTTCGAGGGTCTCTATCGGGCCCGAGATACTGGCCTCTTCCACGCGGTCTGTCAAGGTCTGCATGTAGTAGATCACGCCATCGTCCTACAACACAGAGTTAGTTGCCTGCTTGAACGTACTCACAGCAACAGAAGCTTACGTTGTCCATACTGCTAGAGCCTTCGCTTCCTTCGACACTCTTCGCACGCCGTACTTGGATCGAAGTCAAATCACTCATGTATAATGGTGGTCGATATGCGAAAAAGATTTGTGCAAACTCGGGGCTTGGGTTCAGCTCAGTCTCCTCGCTTGGCATGCCGCCGTCGTACTCGGACGCTCTCTTAGCAGCAACTCGCCGACCTTTCGCGATGGCGGCGTCTTGATCGAGAAAGGTCCCGTGCAACTCCTTATCGTACCAATGCTCCACGTCGGCATCTGGCATCATATGCAAAAGCATTGGGTTGGCGTCAATCCTGCTTGACACAACGTAGTAGATCGGGTTAGGTAGCTGTGCTTTGACCTTGGGATTGACCTCTCTAAGGATGTGGCAGGTCCTGATCCTCTTGCGGTTTCCATTGATCGGCGAAGTCAGATGATCTACTTTGCCTAGTCGAACTTGCGCCACTACCTTGTCGAGAGCTTCTTGTCCACGTTGGCACTCACGACCGAACTTGACACGAATGTGCGCGCCGAGGGCTGTCGACGATTGATAGGGACCAGTAAGTTCATGACCGTCCGGGTGGAATCGAGGGGATGTCACTCGCAGATAGTATATAGTTCCGTCCTCCTCGGAAGTGTCAGCGGTGTGGGTGGTGATCGGGAGTAATGAAAGCTTACAGACGTGATGCCTTCGGAGGCTTGCTTGTCTTCATCACCCGTGGCTGTCCCTACAATACCCATCAAGACATCATCGAGGTTGGCACCTTCACGTATCAAACGGCATGCTGCTTTGTGGCCGGCCCAGGCACTCTTCTGGCACTTCTTCGAACAGTAGTAAACGCTTCGGCGTCCAGTAGTTCATGCATCCTGCACATGCCACCCGCATACCCGTCATGCGAACTCATGCAAACGCATCCTGCGAACTCATGTGTCTTAAACACCTGTTCGCAGGACGCAATGCAATGCACACGTTTGCTGGCCCCCCGTTAGCCAGTGCCCAGTCATTTCGTCGAACCCGCGTCACCGCAATCTCCTCCATGCGGCTATCCGAGACCTCGACAGAGCCGGGTGTGAAGTCGACCAATCTGGGCCGGTCTGAAAGCTGCGGTTTCAGGTTCTTGCTGAAGCAATGGGGAGGTGGTATTGGAGTGGAGACCAACGTGAACAGCCCGGGAGGGACTAAATGATGCGGTCTCAGATCTCTTGCTGAAGCGATGTTGAAGTGGAGATGTATGCCACCAATCTGGACCGATCCAGGTTGCTGCTGTCTCAGTTCTGTTGCAGAAGCGGTGCTGAAGTGGAGCCACACCAAGAAGACGAGGCGGGAGTGGGTTCCAGCGATGTGGATGTGCGTGCGAGCGAGAAGCGAACAGTTGTTCGCATGCCCTGCATCTTTTGTTTCTTGTTGATACCGTGAATTCGACTGCAGCGAGTGCTGTATACTGCTTGTATACCAGCGCCTCCGAGCAAACGATCTCGTCGATTCTTCTACTTCGATTGATCCTGGTCCCATTGGCTTCTCGATCGGTATCATTAAGAGAGCTAGCCATGGCATGCAACGTCGCTTTCCCAGCGCCATCCTCCACCAACTCCCTCTTCGACGATGACTGGAAGAACTGCGGCGGTGACTTCAATGACCTCTGCGCCATCGCCGCCTTCAACGACAACTTCGACGACCACAACTTCGACCTCAACACCACCCAGGGCGGTCCCGGCGGCAGCGTCGACCCTCAGATCCTCAACAACACCCCTTCACCAACCAGTACCCACACAGCCTTCGACAGCTACAACCATGGCCCCCTGGACACAAGCATGTTCGACCTCTACCCTCCACCCCCAAACACCTCCAACGGCGCCCCGCCCGGTCTCCCATACTTCTCTCACCCCTTCGACCAACACCACCCCATCATGCACGAGCGTCCCTTCGCTCAACCATCACCTCTCCGCAATTACGTCCACCGCCGCTCTGTCTCCGAACCACCAGACCAACACCACCTGTGGCCCCCCCAGCAGCAAGAGATGATGCCAATGCCCACCTTCACTCGCCAAGGCACACCACTCGGCACGCCGCGACAGCAGGGATCCCGAGCAGTGGCCAGGACGAAACAGCCGCTTTATCGGCAGCAGTTTTCTGTTGTCAAGAGGCAGGGGGCAAGGCAGGAGAGGTATCAGTTGCGGCGGACGCAGACACAGCCGGCTCCAAGGGATGGTGGTCCGACCAGTGTTCCGCAGGCTGTCATGCAGTCGCCACCTGTGCCGCAGATGATGGCGCAGCAGGCGAATATGATGATGCCGCCGCCGGCGCCGCAGCAGCGTGAGGTTAGTTCGAGGGTTTGTACGCCAGCGCCGGAGCCAGAGCTGGGGGCGGCTGGAAATGAGGTTGATCCGAGGCTTGCTTCGCCGTCGATGGGTAACCAGACGCAGGGAGGCGTTATGGTCTCGTTGAGCGTGGACGAACTGAGGGCGATGATCAAGGAGGCCGTAAGCGAGGCTGTCAAAGCTGCTGTTGCTGAGTTTGCTTCCAACAACGAGCCAGCGTTCGACGGTCAAGAGCAGGCTGAGGCGAAGAAGGCGGATGAGCTGCCAGGTGCTGGAGATGGAGATGAGGATACGATTCAAGTCGCCAACGGGATGGAAGGCGTCCGCAACTCGATCGAGATCCATGATGGGCTCTTCTGAGGAGGTTCTATTCGAGAAGGTCCACCGATACCGCTTCAAGGAGGGCATGATTCCGGTTGCTCTGTTGTGTGCGAAGATGCTGTCGTCATCCGGTCCCTAGAGAAGACAGATCCAGTAGCGTTCGCGAATGTCCTCACTCATCATCATCATCCCTCTTCCGCCCCCAATTCCACACGTCCCAAATCTGATCCGTCATCATATCAAACAACGTCTTTCCCTCTTCAAGATCCTCCCTGACCTCTCTCTGCTGCTGCACCTTCCACGCCTCCCTCTGACTCTGCACAGCCTCCGTCACGCCCGTCCTCTCCTCCTTCTTCATCCTTTGAACCTCCTGACCCACATTATGCCGCTCTCGTTGAAGCCTTGCCTGTTCAATCGGCGGTATCGAACCATTCTCCATGGACTGGTTGTACACTCGTTGATCTGCTCCAACACCGATATGCTGTAGGATGCTTCGTCCTGTCCGGCCTCGTACTATCCAGTTCGCTGAGAAAAGTGTTGTGCCGGCAAGACCGAAGGTGTATGCGTCGAATTTGCGAGGGGGGAGGAGGGCGAGTAGGGGACAGGCTATGACGGCGACTAAGGCGGTGTTGTCGAGGGCTTTGGCGTAGCGGATGGTTTCGTTGTCAGTTGGTTGGCGTTGGGGAGGTTGGGGGTGGGACATGATGGGGTTGTGTAGGGCGTTTGGTATATGAGAAGTGTCGTTCAAGGTCCAGGTGGAGGGCGATGGTACAATGCCATTAAAAGAACAGGTGAAGTCGAGTCTGATCGTCATTCACACGCCTCGACTTCAGCTCGCGTTCATCGGCTATACCTCGGCAGAGATATTTACAGTGATATATGCGGTTATAGAATTTGTGCTTGTCCAACCAACATCACATTTGGTGTAGCAAGCCATTCTCGGGCAATGTAGCAAAGTGGTTACTGCGTTTGACTCGAATGAGCTGTTCTGCAGCTGTACCCGATATCAAATCCCTTCGGGGGCGTAGGTTCGAGTCCTGCCATTGTCGTAGATGTTCTTTTTTGGCCGATTCAGCACGAACATGACTTGGGTTTTCGTTCACTTTCCTACGACTGGTGTCGTCTGTACTTTTCGGACGTTAATATGACCCGGAAAATTGATCTGCGAATAGCTAAGGTAGCGACTCGAAGTTACCTTGTTCGTGTTCATGGACACCGGCCAATTGATCCACCAGAATCATAGGAGAGGAAGTTTCGAGGTGGATCGTCTCTTTTGCTTATCTATCTGCAGGCTGATCCACATCGCACGCTTGCCGTTGTCACCCATCGGCTGCGCCAACCTCCATCGGCCATCGGAGCGGTTTCAAGCACTTTTGCAATACCAATCTACTCACGCCGTGCCTGGAATCACCGACCAGCTCTCGCCGATGAATATCAACTCCTCATCAAGCTTCAACTGTGCCGGATCAACATAGAGCTTCATACCAATCCGACCTTCGCACTCGATCTCAAAGACCCGAAGGATCATGTAGACCTCCCTCTGTCCTTCAGTGGCGTGGATATTCATCATCTGCCGTTTTGTCAATACCAACAACACCAAGTACTTAACAGTTCTTCTTACCCTTTGATACTGGCCTTTGCTCATGTAGAAAGGCGTACCGCATGGCCCAGTCGTCGTCTTGACTTCAATGTAGTAGAACGGGCGAGCAGACCTCCACTCGACAGCGTCCAGATAGCCACGATCGATAAGAATCGCCGTCAGGTCGCCATGGGTGTCAGCGTAGACGAGGTCCGCGGTCTCTGACCCATCCCAAGCTCCCAAGCCCTTGTAAGCTTCGTGGATTGCGACGCGGTCTCGGATGTTGCTCTTCCAATTGTCTCGGCTCCATCCATGTAGAGGAGGATTTAGTCTGCTCAAGACTTCGAAAACCTGTGCTACGGTCAGCGTCCATGTTCGCGGACTCATATTCTGTATAACTCACATAAAGTTCACCAGCAGCTCCGACCCTGAAGTTACGCTCAGCCAGGTTATTCGGACGAAACCTGTTCCAGGACTCATACCCGTTGTAGCCTACAACAGCGTCTCCAGATAGCACGCTTTGAAGGGAGGACATGTCGAATGGCCCTTTGGAAGGAAATTGAGCGTAGCTCGCTGTCCGTACCACCTTGTTCAGTAGCTCCAGATACTGACGGTCGTCCTCATCGGGGTGCGCGGGATGCGGAAGAAGGCGTGAGGCACTGTAGCCGCCATGTGCTCCATACCCAACCCTTGCTTGCTCCGAGTAAACTTCAACGACTCCATTTTCCATAGGTGGTGAGTGGTCTTCAGCTGGAGGCGTATATCTAACCACAGCAGTATCGTCTCCAGCCTCCTCAGAATCCGAGTCCGATACATCATCATCACTGGAGCTTCGAATGTCCTCGTTCGGGATCGGGACCTGCACAATGCCCTGATGGTCGAGGATGAGATCCACAGCAGATGGAGCAACGGCCAGCAAAGTTATTAAAGCAGTTACCATAGCTGCATCAACTCCTCCCTGGATGTGCGTTGTAGGATCGCGCATGAGCCAATCGGCCAGGCTAATAGGCAAGGGCGAGGCGAAGCAAAACTCCTGTTTGCGCTTGTTCCGAGGCACGTAGAGTGTGACACCGCCATCGTGCTCGTCGATGTGCACGTCACCTGCTCGGCTCTCGACTTCGATTGCTTTACCATCTTGCGAAAGGCTCAAAATCGATGATATGTCATCTGTTGCCATTGTTTGGATGGACATCAGAGTCTTGTAAAGGCCGGGTCCGTTTGCAGTGTACCGAGTACTGCTGAAGGTTGCCGCAACGCTGGAAAGCAAGACAATTGTAAGCAACATAACACAGATGTGTAAGGAGTACTTACCGGAGAAGTGCGTGCGCTTTTCGCTTAAGATCTCTGGTCTCCGAAGACACTGCCCGCACGTCTCCACCGCCGACTGAGGTTATCTCCTTGACCGACTCTGACAGGTAGCGATTCGAGAGCTTTGCCCACTTCAGAAATGTGCTCAGCTGTCGAACTTCTGCCAGGTCATAATGAAGCATCTTGATTCGACCTCTGAACTGCTCAATCAAGTACTCTCGATCACCGATACTGAAGTCGATCTTGGCGTTCACCAGTAGTTTCGTTCCAGCTGGGGAAGCAACAGGAAGGATCTTCTTCTTCAATAAAGGTGTTGGGTCCACGGTAGCCGGTTCTGATTGCAGCAGCGCATTGAGTGACCAGATCGCGCTTTTGACCTCGACGATTGGGGTCCGTGAAGTCGTTTGCAGCAGTTCATCGTATACCATCTGCAGGGTTAGCGTTTTCACGCCTAACATGTCAACGAAGAAGTCTTTCATATCGTCATAGTGGTCGTTGAGAGTGACTTTGCCCTTGATGTCTGTGGTGCTCGACCAGAGACAGTCAAAGGTGTTGTACCAGCCAGCAGTGCCGTCCTTGACAACGTAGATGAGAGTTTTCTTAGCGAATGCATCTCTGGCTTCGATCAGCAACCTGTATCCGCAAACATTTGAGCCAGAGCAAGACCCACCTCACATGACGCTGGGTTTCCTCGTTGCCAACGGCGCCTGCAGCAATACGCTCGTAGAGCATTGTAACACGATCGAAATCCTCGCAGCTGTTACGTCTCATGCTTTGAAGTTCCTCGATCATATCCTCCCAAGTCGCATCCCAAACTTGTAGCACGTATTGGAAGAAGCCAGATACCTGGTTCGCTTGATCTACTCCAAACGACTGCGTGAAGATGTCTCTCAGCGAGTACTTGCAGAGCATGTTCGGAGGACCATCCCATAAACAGGTCGGCGGCATCGTCCAGCTCGCCGGATTGCCACCTGATGGCGGGATGTACACACACTGATTGTCGCAAAAGAAGTTCCTGACGGCTGTCAGTAAGAGCATAAACACCGATGACAAACGCCCACTTACGCTACCATCCTCCTGCTGCGTTCCCCATCTGCCGAACCCAGGCATTTGGCATATATCGCGATGTAGAGGTCGATGAGTCGTCCATGACGAGTAAGTGTGGAACTACCTGGGTTTGCTTGTTTGATCCAGAAAAAGACGTCAAGCAGGAAGCGGAGATCATCTTCGATGCCGACTGAGAACACTTCATGGAGGAAGAGCCACTTCGTACGCATCTGTTCAGGAGACATCGTGGAATCAAGCTCCAGAAAAGGAAACGGTTCTGTCTGCTCCATGAAGCGTTCACAATGCGCCCTTAGGGACGCAAGTGGAAGGTACGTGGCTTTCAGAGTGCATGGTGCCGAAAGGAGAGAACCGCAGAGCCCTTCTACATTCGTGCCTTGTATTTGGGTCTTGAGCGCTTCGTTGCTCGTGATTTGCGATTCCTCGTGCTGCCAAAGATGCTCCAGCAGGCCGAGAAGTCTGTCCGGCCTGTGCGAAGCGACGTACGCCCAAGTGTCTGACAGTGCATTGCCGTCTTCTGCAACAAGTCGCAGTCGTTCTCGGACGCCGATGAAGTCACAAAGCCACCTTTCCCACGAGGGGTATCGCAAACTTGGCGCCTCTGGGGCATCAAGAAGATAATCCGAGTGGAGAAATATGACCGGGAATCCTGGGACATCCGTCCCTGATGCCAGAAGTTCCAGAGCTCCATAAGGATGATGTGTTGGTAGAAACACGTCTTGCGTGTATGGGTTCTCGTTGCGACCTAGGCTTGTGCGGAGATGGATGGTCCGGTAATCCTTTCGGACCGGCTTCGGATCACAAAGTTGTGACAGGTACAAGAAGTGCAGATGCGACTTAGATTGTGCCAGACTGGAGCACGGAAAGAGAGCACCGTACCCGTTCCCGATAGCTATTCGCACGTCAACGACCGAAGGCTCCGCAGCACCGAATCTCGTGTAAAGTGCTCGTCGATCCTTGTTGGCTACCGCTGCAGGATCCAGTATCCGCATGTTCACGTCTATCGGCACTGGTATCTCCTCAGCCGTGGGTAGATAGACCGAGCCACTGTCAAGAGAGACCCAATCTCCACTTCTCAAAGGCAACAGGGCAAGTTGGCGTACTCTGTAGTAATTCGCATACTTCGTGAGAAGCTGCGCCATGGTCGAGTGCCAGCGCTGGCTTGTAGAAGCCGACCTCATCTTCGAGGTTGCGCGCGTGAGATCGGCACGCAGCAGATCCACAACGTGATCTACATCCATAATCTTCAAACCATATTCTTCGAGTAGGTTGGTGGCCTCGGGCGAATATCTGTTGGATATAAACACACTCGTGGCAGAATCGTCAAGAAGCGGGCTTCCTTCATCATCTTTGAAATGGCCAGCCAGTAACGCAACGGTGTCAATTTTTCGAAGCTGTGTCCCATGCCGTGCCAATAGGACAGGAGTTCTGGTCACGCGGCTCTGGATTTTGTCTCTCAATCCCAACCAGAAGTGTGTGATTCGGTCTTTCGACGAAGGTAGAAAAGTAGGCCAGGTGTAGCACAAATCTGAATGCTTGCAGAATGTCAGGACAGCTGCTATGAACGCATCAGCGATGGCATCAAGCAGGTCGATGTTTCTTCGTGAAGTGGTGCTGATGTCTTGACGGTTGGCGCTAGTATCGAAGTCGGACTGGATGATGAACTGCGAGTAAGGTCAGAAAATGCTGGGTGGGATGTCCAGCTGGATGGGAAGCGAAAGGCTTACCTTGAAGTCAGACTCTCGTACGGGCAAGAACGCAAAGAGATCTTGCTTCTCGATGAGAGGCTCCGAACCGTCAGTTAACGGGAATGCCAAAACAACTTCGGCCACTGCGGCTGCCTTCCTGGCATCTGCCGTATCAGGGATCTCGCGAGAGGCGCTCCTCGACAAGTTCGATGCCGTGTATTTCGTAACATGGAACTGCTTCGTGGATATTGTGCTATCGTCCGGTAGTTGGATCTTGATTGTCTTCAGAAGAACCCGATGATCGTCGATGTCGTCCTTCTGGAACGATCTCGAGGTCTTCAAGCCGTCGTCATCATCGTAGAATTTCACACTGATCTTCTTCAGCTTCCGAAGAAACAGCAGAGACGTC